TAGAATGAGTAGTGAAGGATCCATTATCAGTAGTAATTTCCCTAAGAAAATGACTGTTGCTTCTAGCCTTAATCTTAGCAAATAAAAAACCCAAGTCATCTTCACCCTTCAAAAGCCAATAGGTCTTAGCACGCTGAGAAATCCAAGCCGACCAAGCAGATTGAAGATTAGCCAATTGATCATTAATCTCTTTAAGAGAATTGTTCAAAACCGGATTCAAAGGATTAGCTTGAATCTCTTCCAGACAATAGATTTGAGAATATTTCAAATCCTTGATAGCATTACTAAGAAAGTTGGAGGAAGACCAGCTTTTCGTTTTAAGAGCATTCTTAAGATGCCTAAGGCTCCGATAGAAATCAGAGATAGGACTATTCTCATGAGGTTTCGAAAAAGCTTGCACCAAGTCCTCCCAGAAAGAATCAAAATTGACCCAATAATTTTTAAATTTAAAATGCACCTTAGGAGTCTGAGAAACAGAGTCCAAAAGAATGAGAGGAGAATGATCCGAACCCCCTGGGGGTTCAATTTTGTAGTAGAAATTTTGATATCGAAGCAGGAATTCAGAATTCACCATCATCCTATCCAGTTTAATATGAATGGGCATCTCCACCCTCTGATTAAACCAAGTGTAGAAAAGGCCAACGGAAGCAAGGTCCTGAAGACCACAGTCGAAAACACATTTGTTGAGTTCCCCTAGAGAGCTTTGAGACGGGTTATTACCCCCAGCTTTTTCATAATCAAAACTGTAACAATTAAAATTACCCAAAATGATCCAAGGAAGATCACTAGAAGGTGCAACATTCCGGATATCATCCCAAAGAACTTTCCTGTCATTCACATTATTGGAGGCATAGAAAACAGATAGCTCAAAAGAAGCATTCCCCCAAGTGAAGGAACCATGGATGAGTTGAGAGGAAGAGAAGGAGGGAGTAAAAGTAACAGCAGCTTTGTCCCACTTGAGCCAAATCCTACCCGGATTAGAAAAACAGAAATTATTGAAACTATCCTCCAAATCAAACACTTTATGTCGGTGCAGAAACCACGGGTCTAAAGTAGACTGAATAGGAACTTTTGCTTCAAGAATTGCTAGAAATTTGAGACAATGAGAAGAAACTAAATCTTTGCAAAGACGAACTTTGTCAGGGTTATTAAACCCCCTCACATTCCAACAAGCTAAAGGAGAACCAGACATTAATAACGGGATCCTTTGCCTTTTTTGGCAGTTTTAGGCTTAACTTTTTTGGCTTCTTTGGGGGATTTGGATTTGACTTTGGAATTATGAAGACGTTCTGAAGAAGAACCATCCGTAGAGGATTGAGTCGTAGAAGAAGAGGGGAGCTCTCCATCAGCAGTATCATCATTTCCAGGAGGATTATCAATAGAAGGAAGCTCAGCATCTAAAGCTTGAAGGGAATCAAATTTATTAGCAGTAGGGATTTTAGGGGGGAGGTATAGAGGAAGGTGAAATAGTTTGCTCAGAGGAAGAAGCCACATCCATAGGGAGATTTAGATTAGGTAGAGAAAGGTCTTTTGTGGAGACGGGAAGCACAACAGTCGATATTTTCGGCTCAGTGGACAACATGACAGGAGCATTAATGAAAGGGTTTGGAAGAATTCCATCCTGAGACTTAAGAGAAGTCTCACCAGTCAAAGAAGAGGGACGGGGAAGAGGTGGTTTGGAAGGAGGATTTTGTTCCCGGTGAATAGGATGTCTGCTGGAGCTACGACCTCTCGGGCGAGCAGAAGGTGGTATGATAGGTTTTGGATTAGGGTTTGAGGAACAAAGAGAGAACGGGTGAAAAAGGGATCCACAGCCTTCACATGGGGAAGGTTTTCAGTCATAGGCTGCTAACTTTTGAGACTTCAGTACGTTTCTCACTTCAATTTCATGGTTATTTCTCAGGAAGGGGAGGAGTTTTATTGATGTAAACACACACCCTACAAGGTGGAGTCTGGTAACGAATTGGCAGTGAAGTGTGTCAATGCAGAATCAGAAACCCCGATGAAACTAGCAATCGCGGGAGATCCCTAAAGGTGTCACAGGCGCCAAGGTAAATCCATAATTTTTATCCAGATAGGGTATAGTGGTATTTTCAATCCCTAACCGGGCTTAAACTTTGGGTTCCAGCGTTGCAAGATGAAAGGCTTTCCCAACAAAAACCAGGGCCCTTCCACACAATTTCCAATCTCCAACCGCTAAGAATTTTAAGAGAAAGAATCCATCAGCAAGAGAAAGGGAGACATCCCACCTTTGATGTTCCAAACCTTTTTTCATAGCCAAAAGCAGTCGTTCGTAGATAGGGCGAGGGCCGATCGAGTAACCCACCAACGAAAGGTTCCAGAAATTAGCACTTCCGAAAGATATCTGCCTGAGGAAAGCTTCGGAGCCGGGGTAACGAAGGAGACGGGGAAGTTGGTCGACTTAAAGCTAGAGTTGAAACATTATCCGCATAAGAGCCAAGAACGAAGCACGAAGGTTGACTTTAGAAGCAGTCGAAGATAGGGGGGGGGGGGAATCTTGAGAAGCAAGCTCCATGCAAACAGGAAAGTCTCTCCTCTAGGGAAAGAGACGAAGACCGCGGAAAGGAAGGCGAAACCTAGCAGAGCAGTTACCAATATATTGTCAAATGCAGTTGTATAAATTTTATACTTATTTATTTTGATTATTTGATTTAATTTTAAAATAAATTATAATTTTGTTGTTTTTTATTTTTAGAAGAAAACAAATTAAAAATCAAAATAAAAAATTGAATTATTAAATAAATAAGTGATATAATAATCAACATTATTTTTTATTTCATATATTTAATAAATATATATATATATATTTATAATAATATATATATATATAAAAATATATAATATATATATATATATATATATATATAATATTATATATATATATTCTTGAAATTAAATTAATTATAAAAAATATATAATATAATTTAGTTAACTGAATCAAAATTTAATTTTAAGAAAATATATAATCGATTAAATTTTTAAAATTTTAAAACTTTGAAGTTAAAATTAATTAATTAATCAAATCTACATTCTAATATTATATGCTTCAAAGTTGAATTCGAATCAACTGTTGCTGATTACTGGAAAAATGAAAAGTCAACCAATGTGCCAAAATTGGCTGAACAATCCCAATGAGGATCCAATTTCTCCCACTCTTTTTTGCATAGTGCCGTATACTTCTTTTTTGACGTTTGAACTTTGCGTAACAGCTGGAGATCATCTCTTAAAATTTTATCCTTAGAATTCAACGAGCATTGAAAAGTAGCAATGAGAAATAAGTGCTTGTCTTGAGCTTAAAGAAAAAGGTTCAGTAGGTGGAGTTTGTAGTGCTAACTCGGTATTATAGAAATAAAGGGCCTGTTTGATTTAAAATAAAAGAGCTCCAGAGTCTTTTTTTATATAAAGGGATTTGGAAAATATTAAGGTTTGATTTGAGATTTTTAAAATAGAGAATAAAATTTTGACGTTATTAAAATTCACTATCTAGTATAATTTTAGTATTTTTGAAAATTGTTAGATTTGATCGATTTCTAAATAACACCATCATTAGACTTTCATTTCACTTCAATAAAATAATAATTTATTGCATTTATTTTACACTCATTCATATAAAAATAATTCAAATATATTGCATTCATTTTACACTGCTCAAAATATTTTAAATAGATTACATTCATTTTACACTTCATTTCATTTACTCTACATTTCTTTTATAACAAACTCAACAACAAAAAATGAGAAATGTTTTTAAAATAATAAACAAATATGTTTGACTTAAATTTAGGACCCTGAAACTCCTATTGTGGTGTTTATATTTTTTGCTTACAGGTTGTTTCATCTATTGAAAAGCAAATACAAAGTAAAATGAAATGCAATATACTTAAAATATTTAGAATTATTTGGATGAAAAAAAATGATGATGTTTTTTTTTTTTAGGGACAATTGATTTGCTAAAAAGGAATACAAATTATTCTAAATACAAAAGGATTCACATTTTGGGTGTTCGATTTGATGAAAAATAAATATATTGTAAAATTTTATAAAAATCTATTATTATTCTCTAATTCATTTTTTATGTATAATAAACCATCAATTGTTTTAATGAACTCCAATTACACTGCAAGTTGACTATGTTGTCACCAATCGCTGTGATTTAAAATTAATAAGAAAGCTCAACTTTGTTACATGATACAAGCACAGATTTGTGTCGCACAAGATATAAATTATAAATATCCTAAATAAAAAATAAAAAAAATATATATTTTTTATAAATAAAATTATTATATTTTAGATAAATGATAAATAATTTTTAAATTTTTTTAAATATTCACATAAGCCAATTCAACAAAAACTTGATTCAAACACAATTGCGTAAATTGGTCAAGTCGAAATCGAAATCTTTTTAATAAAGTTTTTTCATTCAAATAATTTTAATACTAAAAAGTTAATTTAAAAATAATAAGAAAGCTCAAATTTTTGTTACATGATACAAGCACAGATTTGTGTCGCACATAATATAAATTATAAATATCTTAAATAAAATATAAAATAATATACTTTTTATAAATAAGATTTATATATTTTACATGAATGATAAATATGATAAATAATTTTTAATTTTTTATTTAAATATTCACATAAGCCAATTCAACAAAAACTTGATTCAAATCAAACACAATTGAGTAAACTCCCCAAGTTGAAATCAAAATCTTTTTAATAAAAATTTATTAAATTCAAATAATTTTAATAAAACAAGTTTAATAAGAAAATAATAAGAAAGCTCAAATTTGTGTAACATGATACAAGCACAGATTTGTGCTGCACATAACATAAATTATAATATCCTAAATTTATATATATTTTACATAAATAATAAATATGATAAATAATTTTAAAATTTTTTAAAATATTCACATAAGCCAATTCAACAAAAAAACTTGATTCAAATCAAATACAATTGTGTAAACTCCTCAAGTTGAAATTCAAATCTTTTTAATAAAAATTTTTTAGTTCAAATAATTTTAATACTAAAAAGTTAATTTTAAAATAATAAGAAAGCTCAAATTTGTATTACATGATACAAGCACATATTTCTGTAACAAGACTTACTTTCCAACAAACAAATTTGATATCCTTTCAATAAACCTCTACAGATTTCACCTTCTACAGTATGGCTACTGGATGTTACAGCCACCTGAGTCTTGCGCACGGCGTACATTGCCATACGCAGAGAGTTCCACAAGATCCAAATCCCGTCCTATAAGTTCGTGAAACGAGTCAGCAGAAATTTATTGATGATAACTAATGGTCCGTTCGTAGTTTTTTATTTAATAATTGTTTTTAAGAAAATTTATGACTAGAAACAGTTTTTTTATAATTAGATTTGTTAGAGTGTAATAACTATCATAATATTTTTCTTTGAATTATTCGAAAGTTTGTTTTCCTCTAACAATTCAACAAACAGCTGTAGCAGTCTCAAATAGGGCAAATTATTAGATCCGGTCACCATGTAGAGATACGTCCGGACACCAATAAAATATTATTTTAAGTCAAGTGCGTCAAAAGCGCAGGTAAAGCGCACCTAAAGCCTTGATTAATAATTAATAATCAAATATTGTTCTTGATTTCTATCTAAAAAAATAAAATAAAGAAAATTTGTCTCAAAGGACCCTAACTCATTCTTAAGATATGCATAGATGAGTCTTGAATGAAGCAGCAACATACCTGATACTCTACAATAGGCACTCTTCTGTATGAGGTCTGACTTGGATATCTCGGTTTTATTTCCTTTGAACCGATTAACAGTAGCCTGAAAATGGAAGAAAGTTATAGAATAACTTGTCCATGATAAAAACCCACTGATAGATGAAGGCTTTTCCTGTATTTTTTTCTTTTTAAAAAATTTGGAAAACAAGAGTGAAGAATCCAAAGAGATGATCTCCTTACTCGTGACAATAGGAAATACATAAAATTCCTAGGCATCTAAGTATACTGAATGGTCCTACACAAGTTGATCAGATTAACATTAAAAAAAGTAGGAAATAAAAGAGAGAGACTAAGGATTACATAAATAGAAATAATTCATAATAATTTGTAAAGAATAAATTTTATCATATATAAAAAAAACAAATGAAAAATGATGATGATACAACAACAACAACATCAAGCCTTTGTGTGGGGCCGGCTACATGAATCCTATTTCGCCATTGTGTTAGGTTAAAAGTGAAATTCTCATTTAAATCTAGTAAAGAAATATCATTTCTAATATTTTCTAACCAAGCCTTTTTAGTTCTACCTCTAACTTTCTTAACATAAGTCAAATCTAATACCTCAACTTTCCTAACTAGGTCATCGGAAGGCCTCCGTTTAATGTGACCAAACCATCTAAGGCGACTCTCTCTAATCTTATCTTCCACTGGAGCTACTCCAACCTTTTCACGTATATGCTCATTTTGTATCCTATCTTTAAGGGACAAGACACTCATCCACCTAAGCATCCTCATCTCTGTAACACTTAACTTAGTATTATGCTTCTCTTTTAATGGCCAACATTTGACACCATAAATCATTACAGGTCTCACCACCATCTTATAGAATTTTTCCTTAAGTTTGAGGGGGACTTTTCTATCGCACAATAAGCCCGATACATTCCTCCACTTCAATCATCCAACTTGAATTCTGCTGATAATATTCCCATCAATTTCACCATCACTTTGAACAATAGATCCAAGATATATAAAATGTGTACTCTTATTAATTACTTGATCGCCCAAAGTCACAATCCCCTCAATAGGTCTATTGCTACTAAAATTACACTCTATATATTCAGTTTTAGATATACTCAAGAGAAAACCTTTAGACTCTAAAGTTGACCTCCAGAATTCAAGTTTACCTTCAACTCCCTCTCTAGTCTTATCAAAAAGAAGAATATCATCAGTAAAAAGCATACACCAAAGTACATCCTCTTGCAAATATCTAGTGATAACATCCATGACTAAAGAAAAAATATATGGACTTAAGGCTAATCCTTGATGTAATCCAACCGAAATAAGAAAATACTTGGTCAAACCACCTTGTGTTTGAACACAAGTAATAGCTCTTGCATACATATCTTTAATGATTTGAATATAAGCATAATTAACTCCTTTCTTTTCAAGAACTCGCCATAACACTTCTCTCGGAACTTTATCATATGCTTTCTCTAAATCAATAAATATCATATGTAGATCCTCCTTATTCTCTCTATATTTCTCAATAAAACCTCTCAATAAATGTAAGTTGATCCTTTTTAGGAATCAATCAAAAAGCCCCTAAATTTTTCAAGTGGAGTCTAGCACCTAAATTTGAAATATTTAAAGAAGAAATAAAAATCATGTTCTTTTATTTATAATAACATCATTCAAATCTTGAAGATCATAATAAAACTATCAACTTTTATTCACAACAATTTGTTAATTTCTTAATGATTTGGTTATAACAAGCACAAATATGAATGACTAGCTCATTTTAAATGCTTAGATCTTAATTTTGTAAATAGAAAGATTTAAATGGAACGCATGCAAATGTCCCAATTTTCAAACGTGCTTAAAATTAAGGATGTTATGATTAATAAATACAAGAATAAATACAAGAATAAATAAAGAATGTAAAACAAGCAGAAGATAGATGACTGTTACAAATTGGTTGTCAATAGGCATAATAGAATGCTCCTTTGATTATTGGAGGGGATTTCAATTGTATTTTATCTCAAGAGGAGAAAAGAGGTGGGAAGAAATTCAAAATGAACCAAGGCTCCAAAGATTTTCAGAGTTTCATGATCAACAATGATCTTCACCTGGTAAATTCAATGGGACCTAAATTCATGTGGTGCAATAATAAATCCGGAAGTAATCGTATTTGGGAGAAATTGGACAGGTGCCTTATAAACTCTTCTGCTATGAATTTTCTTCACTTAGCTATCATTAAACACCTGCCTCGTTTTGCTTCGGATCACTGTCCATTAGTTTTGGAATTATTCAAACTAGTGGACTCAGTGAGGAAAGATATTAGATATGAAGAGATTTGGGCTACTTATTATGGAGCAACGGCATTGGTGAAGAAGATTTGGGAAAATAAATGTTCTGGTAGTCCGGCTATCATTCTCAGTAAAAAATGTAAGAAGACTCTAAGAGCTCTATTCTTTTGGAGTAGAGAGAAACATAAAAACTTATCTCAGCTCAAGGAGGATCTCAAAGCAGAAATTCTGGAAATCCAATTAGAAGAGGCAGAAGTTGGTATTTCTATGGACAAGCTTCAGATTTTGAGAAGTAAAATCAATGAGTTAAATGTTACTTTAGCTAGACTCAATACTTGGTGGAAGCAAAGAGCTAAGATCAAGTGGATGGAGGAGGGTGACTGTAACTCCAATTTTTTTCACAGTTTTGCGAATGCTAGAAGAAACTTAAACTGGATTCATCACATCAAGACTTTAGAAGGGGAAATCTCAGAAGATGAAACTGTTATTCAGGAGACCTTCTCAGTTTATTTCAAAAATAAATGGCAGAATAGGGAGTGTTCTCTGGTAGGTTGGCCATTTCCGACAGAGACTCTTGATGAGGCGGATCAAGCGATGCTTGGTGCAGATTTCTCCAGAAATGAACTCCAGCTTGTGGTGGAGAATTCGGACAGAAACATATCTCCAGGATTAGATGGGATTACATTTTCTTTCTTAAAAGACTTTTGGAGTATTATCAAAGAAGATGTGTGGAATGCAGTTAGCCAATTCTTCAAGGAAGGTAAGATGGATAAATCCTGGAAAGAAACTTTAATAGTTTTAATCCCAAAGATTAAAAATCCGCAAGTTCCTAGCAACTTCCATCCCATCAGTCTTTGTATGACCATCTACAAACTAGTTGCTAAAATGATGTTCAATAGGCTAGAAAAAGTCTTGCATAAGATTGTATCTGAAGATCAAGCGGCTTTTGTTAAAGGTCGTTCTTTAAATGATCATGTTTTATTGGCCCAGGAGGTGTTTAACAAGTTCAGATGGTCTAAAAGTAAGGAGGGCTTATGTGCTATTAAAATTGACATGGAACAGGCGTATGATAGTATGGGGTGGTTAACTTTGAAGCAAGTTCTGTTTCAGTTCAGATTTCCTAATAAGTTCATTGAACTTATTATGCAGTGTGTGCTGGATCCTAGATTTTGTATTTTGATTAATGGAAAGAAAACAAGTTGGATTGAAGGGAGATGTGGTTTTAGACAGGGATGTCCGTTATCCCCGTCATTATTCATTTTATGTTCTCAATTACTTTCCTATGCTATTAAGGAGAGGTGTAAAGGAGTTTCGGTTTCCAAAAATGCTCCCAAGGTAACACATCTGTTGTATGCAGATGACATTTTGCTGTTTTCAGAAGCTAAGCTTAAGTCTATCAAGAAGTTAAAAAAGATCATCTCTAACTACTGTATGTGGACGGGACATAAGGTGAATGAATCTAAATCGTTGATCATCTTTGGGAAACATACTAGTAGGAAAGCTAAGCAGGCGGTTACCAAAGCTCTGAGCTATAAACAAGTTAAAGAGTTTGATTATCTCGGGGTAAGGATGGCTTTGAGAAGGCTGAGCAAAGTTGATTTCCAAGGCTTATTAGAGAATGCAGCTAGCAGACTGAACACTTGGGGTAAGAGATGTATCTCCTTGGAAGGTAGATTGGTTCTTGTGAAATCTGCATTTTTGACTCTACCTTTATTCATTTCTTCTATTTCAATCGTTCCATTGAGCATTCTTAAAGAATTTGACAAGATGTGTAGGGAGTTTATATGGTGTAAAAATAAGGGGGAACCTGGTATCCATTATGCTTCGTGGGATTTACTTTGCAAATCTAAAAGTGGAGGTGGTCGTGGTTTATTTTCAGCTGTGGATAAGGTGGGTCCCTTAAGAGCTAAATTTGCTTGGAGCTTTATTTCAAAGCCTTACTCTTTATTGAATCAAATTTTAAGAGCTAAGTATGGGGAAGATGTTTGGTCTTCTGTTAGGAAAACTGGTTGCTCGTCTACTTGGAAGGTTATCACCAGCGGAGCTAAATTCCTAAGAAAGGTTATAAGATGGCAAATTGTTAATGGAGAATCTATAAACTGGTTATATGATACTTGGATTCTAGATAGGAGTATTGCTAAATGGCCAACGTTTGTAAATATACAAGATCCTACTGATTTCAATCTAAGCTATTTCATTGAGGAGGGACAATGGAAGTTGGATAAGTTGAAAGAGATCTTTGGGGAACAACTGATTGAGTCTATTATGAGAACCTCTATTGTAGCAGGCAACGGCTCAGACAGGTTGGAACTTATCAAGATGTATTCTGGTAAATCTGTTACTGGCCTGATAAGAGAAGCCGAAGAGGAGTTGGATAATCAGAATGCTCATTGGAATTGGATGAAAAAATTGAAGCTTAATCCCAAAACGGAACTCTTCTGGTGGAGAATGTATAATAATGCTATACCGTCGAATGCTATGTTGGTTAATAGGAGGATTACAACAGTTTCTGGTTGTCCTAGAAGAAGCTGTAATGAGATTGAAGATGGAAATCACATTGTGGGAAGTTGTGTTAAAACTTTGCAGGTCATTGCTTTACTGAATAAATGGGGTTTCCAGGTCCCGGTTTTCGGTAATTTTGAAGAATGTTTGACTGGTTTACAAAGAATGATTGGAAAACAAGATTTATCAGCCAACTTGTTCTGTAATGCTATTTGGCTGGTGTGGAAGAATAGATGTAAACTTGTTAATACAAAGAGGGAGAATTCTGTTAATTCCATTGCTGCTGAAACTGTTTCTTATGCGGTTAAAAGTAATTTTGTTAATATCCACCAAGTCATCTGGAATGCTAACCGGCTTCTGCTGTATAATCATTGGCATCCCCCGCCCCTTGGATGGATTAAAATCAACTTTGATGGTGCGTTGAGGAGGAACAACTCGGCTGGAGTAGGTGGGGTTGTGAGAGACCACAAGGGTAGATTTTTACTGGCGTTTGGCAACTCACTTCATCATTGGAATGCTGCTCAAACTGAATTGCATGCTGTGAAGTTTATAAAGTTTGTGAAAAGGGATTGGATGTCGGAATCTCTTGGAGTCATCATTGAAGGAGACAACAGTAACATCATTTCTTTGCTCCAAAAAGAATTCAAAAGGTGGAAGGTTAGCAATGCTATTGATGATAATTTAGATTTCTTACTTGATTTCAATCAAGTTATTTTTTCTTTTACCAATAGGTTGGGTAAAAAATTAGCGAACATTTGTGCTAATTTGGCTGTAGAAGGTTCTTTTGTTTGGGAAGATCTTCAAGGTACTTCCATTCCTTCTTCTTTCCTAAATTGTTTGAAAGAGGAATGTGAAACCTTAGATGTTCCGTGAGTGTGCTGTTTGTATTTTGTTTCTCGTCGTTTTTTTTTTAATGCAATTTTATGCATTGGTTATCAAAAAAAAAAAAAAAGTGGGTAACGAAATGCACTAATTAATTATAAAGTGTTCATTTTGTAGATATGATTACTGGAGCATAAGTGTATGATGTGACACTTTCCTTGTAAAAGAAAGGACACATAGCAAAATAAAACATATAAATCGAATATTGAATTATTCTTAACAGAGAACTATGAAGTCACTGATAAAGCCAACTATGTTAATGAATTCAAAGTAAAAAAGTCACTTGTGAAAGTAACAACAACAAGTCTTTATCCTAATATGTTCAACAACATGAATCCTTTTTCTCCATTGTGTCAGATTAAGAGTCAAATTCTCATTTAGATCTCATAAACAAAGGTCATTTCTAATATTTTCTAACTAAGCCTTTTTAGGTCTTCCTCTACCTTTCTTAAAATAGGTTAAACATAATACATCTACTATCCTAACCAAGTCATTTATGTGACCAAACCTTCTAAGACGACTGTCTCTAATTTTATCTGCCTCTAGAGCTACTCCAACCTTTTCATGAATATGCTCATTTCGTATCCTATCTCTAAGAGTAAAGTCACTCATCCACCTGAGCATCCTCATCTTTGCAACACTTCACTTAATATTATGTTTCTTTTTTAATGGCAAACATTCTGCGCCATATAACATTGCAAGTCTAACCACTATCTTATAGAATTTTCCCTTAAGTTTGAGTGATACTTCTCTATCACACAACAAGCCTGATGTTTTCCTCCACTTCATTCATCCAATTTGAATTCTACTAAAAATATCCCCATCTATTACTCTTAGAGATAGGATACGAAATGAGCATATACGTGAAAAGGTTGGAGTAGCTCCAGTAGAAGATAAGATTAGAGAGAGTCGCCTTAGATGGTTTGGTCACATAAAACGGCGGCCTTTCGATGACCCGGTTAGGAGAGTAGAGGTATTAGATTTGACTTATGTTAAGAAAGGTAGGGGTAGACCTAAAAAGACTTGGTTAGAAAATATTATGAATGACCTTTCTTTATTAGATTTAAACGAGAATTTGACTTTTAATAGGACACAATGGAGAAAAAGGATTCATGTAGCCGACCCCACGTAGTGGGATAAAGGCTTGATGTTGTTGTTGTTGTTGTATTTTACCATCACTCTGAATAATAAACCTAAGATATCTAAAATGTGTACTCTTATTAATGACTTGATCGCTCAAAATCACTTAATGAAAGTAAGCATAATAAAAATGATACTGTTAATATGAAGATGTGATAAAAAGATTAAGGATTATATCATGCGATAAGAGTAGTATATATTTAAAGATATGATTATGAAAAAAAAAAAATTAAGTGCTACTTTTGGGTGTTAGATGTACAAGAATCTCAACAAGCAAACTTCTATGAAAAGCAATAAAATAATTTCTCTATAGATTAGAATTACGTGCTACTTCAAACAAGAAATTTATGTACCTGTAAAACCTGACAGTTCTCCAACGTGCTCTTACCACCCTGAAATATGCAAACAATCAATAGAGACAATATAGCAGATTATAACTGCAAATGAGTACTCTTTGTAGACATAAACAGACTGGGTGGTGATCTTGTTCTCAAAAATTGTTGCTCAAGCCATGATGACTATAATAACTTGCATGCATGCATCGTAAAGTTCTTGGTTTAGTCAGAATGGATAATATTAATGCACACTAATGTAAAGTTGAGAGGGTTCACATTCAATGAATATGTTACCAGTCTGTACCATTACACTACTTATCCACGAAAGCCTTGTATTCACAAGCAAAGCTTGACATGGACTAAAACAAACATGTCCTAAAGCAGAGCCCTGCATTGGGTACCCATACCCACACCCACCCACGTACCCACCCATACCCAATGGGCATGGGTGGGTATGGGTACGCCCATAGCCTCGTGGGTGGGTATGGGTGGGTACTCAACATCAGAGGAGAACCAATTTACATTACTAATCATCTTATACATGCAATATATTATAATAATCCTTACTATACAGTGCGCAACACTGAACCGCGTCACGACCATGATAAATTTTGATATGTGGCTTGAAAGTTTGCAGTCAAAGAAAATGGCATAAAATCTCAATGCCATCATTCTATGGCAGACTGCATTCAATAAGCTTGGAAAGTGGGTGGGTATGACATCCGAAAAGTCACAATAGGTGGGCGTGGGTGGGCAAAGCCCGCCAACGCAGAACGTGGGTACCCAGTGGGTACCCAACCAGGACCCCATGTAGGGCTCTGTCCTAAAGCCAGTGTCGAGAGCACAGTCCTCATTTTCCCACCAATGGTAACATTTTATATGTAGATGTACAAATTCTATAAAGCACCTGATAGACTGGCTAAATTTGATTGGAAGTAAATTAGGAAATTTCCTAACCAAGAGGGATTTCTTTAGGAAGGTTTTTAATCAAAAGAAATTAATTACGAAATTTTTCCTTTTTTTTTTTTGAAGAAATGCTATAAGCAATATTATTAATAGAAATCAAGAAACAAAGCAACCTATGACAAGAAACACTTGTTACATTCCTCCTTTAACAAGTTAAAGAAATAAGGAGGAACCTTATTGCAATCTAATCTATCCCAAATGAAATCATATTCACTAGCAATGTTAGAAAAACAATCCGCTAACTTATTGCAATCCCTATTCACAACTTGAATGATAACTTGATTAAAATATCTTAAAAAGAAAAAATCACCTTGTATGGTTCCGTCTTCATAGAAATCCTTTTTGCTAAGCATTTCCTTCACAAACTTCATAACAAAGAAGTTATCTCCTTCTATGATAATACCTTTTGTTTCATACATCCAATCTTGAATAAGCTTCCTCAAAGATAGAATTGCTTCCAGCTCCATTACCGAACAATCCCAGTGAGTGCCTTTAAATCCAAAGGCAAATAAAAATCTACCTTTGCAATCTCTTATGATCCTGCCAACTCCTGAATTATATGAACTATGAAGGACAGCATCAATGTTAAATTTAATCAAATCGTTCGGAGGGGGATTCCAAGTAGAAGAATTCAGCCTAAGCTGATTAGAATCCCAGTTGACCGAAGTTAGATTAAAGGAATTTGAAGAAGAAGCAAGGCTGACTGCATTAGCTGCTATCAAATTAACACTATCTTCTTTGCTACCATGTATCATTCTATTCCTAATTTTCCAAGTCAGGAATACCATGGTACAATATAATTTGCCCATAAAAGAGTTAGATTTAGACATAAAGAGCAATTCCTGGTAGCATATATCCATGCTGGAGAAAACCGGCAGATTATAACCCCACCTGTTAATAATTCTGATAACTTTATGAAGGAAAATACAATGGACTGCTATATGTTCTGCATTTTCCACATTACCACATCCTTATGTACATCCATTGTAGTTGATAAGTCTTCTATACATCAAGAAGTCATTAGAAGGAATAGAGTTATGATCTAGTCTCCACCAAAACAACTCCACTCTTGGGCTTAATTTAAGGTCTCTTAATCATTTCCAGTTTTTTATCTTCAACTTCATGGCTTCTGTTATGATCTGTAATCATGCCAGATAAAGTTTTACCCGAGAGCTTGAACAATAACTCCCTCTCATCAACAGGAAGTTCTCTATGAATAGGGATAACATTGATCAATTTAACAAGTTCCTCACCGAAAACTTGTTTTAACTTCAAAATGTTCCAGCTACCGTCTTGGATAAAAGCATTTAGAGTACATTGATCATCTTGAAGTTCAGCCACAAAAGTTGGCCAACACTTTATACTTTTGTGTAATAACCAGATATCCTTTGACGTGTTAACTTTTTTACCATATGCTATTTTCTACCTCATTATTTTCTTCAGGAATTTAGCTCCAATATTGATGATCTTCCAAGTTGAAGACCTTCCATAAGAAAATTTTCTGAATTTCAGAAATCTTCCCCATATTTAGCAATCAGATTTCTATTTAGCAAGGTGTTCGGTTTTGAAATAAGGCTCCACACAAATTTAGCCCTCCAAGGCCCAATTTTACCAACAGCAGATACCACACCTTGTCCTCCCCACCTTTGCTTGCATAACGTTTCCCAATTAACATAATGGAGACTTTCGCTTTTGTCAAGTTTCCTCCACAAGAAATCTCTACTCAATTTATCTAATTCATTTAGTACTCCCATTGGCACTAAAGAATGAGTAGAAATGAAAATAGGTAGAGTTAAAAGAGATGATTTAATAAGAAAAATCTTGCCAGACAAAGAAAGAGACCGATTCCCCCATTTACTTAATTTATCTAAAGCTTTTTCAATCAAATACTAAAAGTCCACATTAGATAATCTTCTCAATGCCATTCTTACTCCCAGATAGTTCAACTCTACTTCTTTAAAGCCCATAACTTTAGTGAGGGCTTTGGATCTACATCTTCCAACTGATTTCCTAAAAAGCATTGATGATTTCAGCACATTTACCTTCTGACCCGTCCAGCTGCTATAATTCTTCAAGATCTTTAGAATTATCTTAGCACTTTACGGTTAGTTTCAGAAAAGAAAATAGTGTCATCTGCATATTGCAGATATGAAATTTTTTCCGCAGCTGGAGCAATTTTGATACCAATTCGTTTCCCTCTTTGATTGAAAGCCTCACTCAAAAGCTGGGAATATAGAATGAACAAAACCGGAGACAATGGGCAGCCTTGCCTGAAACCACATTTTGCTTGAATCCATTTTGTATTATTGCCATTGATAATGATAGTATAATTCGTATCAATTACACATTGAAGTAAATAATTTGAGAATTTCCAAGGAAACCCAAGGAATTCTAAAACTTGCTTCAAGGTTTCCCATACCATACAATCATAGGCTTACTCCATATCCACTTTGATAGCCATCAATCCTTTTTTTGCTTTAGAAAATCTAAATTTATTAAAGATTTCTTGAGTGAGCAAAATATTATCAGATATTGATCTACCTTTAACAAAAGCTACTTGATTTTCAAAAATCAGTTTTGGAATAAAGACCACCATTCTATTCAATAACATCCTTGCTACTATCTTGTAAAAAGATTTGCATAAACTTATTGGTCTATAATTGGAAGGAATTAGAAGATTCTTCAATTTTGGAATTAACACAACAACAGTTTCCTTCCAATCTTTGCTCATAACACAGGAATTAAAGAATTGACAAATAGCCTTCCACATCCTCCTCTTTGATAATGTTCCAATAACATTTAATAAATGAATAAGAAAGGTCATCAAGTCCAGGAGCAATATTACCTTCCAATTGACGAATAATAGATTCTAGCTCTTCTTTTGTGAATTCAGCCAAGAGATAGTTCCTATCTTCATCTCCCAGAGTTTCCATGAACCTCGGCCATCCAGAAACTTGCATCTTCTATATTTCCATTTGTCTTTAAAATGATTCAACAAAACTTCTTCAATTTTGCTTTGTTCTTCCACAAGAATACCACTGTAATCCTTATAAATTTGATTGATAAAGTTGCTGTTCCTCTTGGCTGTAGCAATCCCATGAAAGTATTTAGACTTAAAATCACATTCCTTCATCCATTTAACTTTAGCTCTTTGCCTCCACCAAGTGCTAAGCCGACCCGAGGTAGAGTTTAAATCTAATACTTTAGATTTCAGCAGACGGATTTTTTCATCTGATAAACTACCTGAATTAGCCTCTTCTTCTTGCAGCTTCAAGATCTCTTCCTTTAGTTCTTCCTTTTTCTTATTCAAATTTGAGTGTTTAGCTTTACTCCAGTAGAACAGAGCCTTCAGTGCTCTTTTTGACTTCAGATTAAGCACTTGTACATCGTCACCTCCAGTAGATTTCCTCTAGGAACTTGCCACTACAGAGTAAGACGCTGGATAAGTGGCCCAAATTTCTTCAAATTGAATCTGTTTCCTCTTAATAAAACCTTTATTAAAGATTTTAATTAAAATTGGAAAGTGATCTGATGCTATTCTACCCAAGTGACGAACCACCGCTGGTTGAATCATTAACAAAGCAATTGGATTTATAAGACAATAGTCTAATCTTTCTAAGATCCTTGTCCTCCTTTCTTGTTATTACACCAAGAGTATTTCGGTCCAATAATTCCAGTATCATGGAAATCACAGTTATTCATAAACAAATTCATATATTGAGGTCCTTGAGAGAACACAAACCTCTTGCCACCTCTTTTTTCCTCTTGAGATAACACAATTAAAATCACCACCCATGATGAAAGGGAGATATGTGTCCGAGAATGACTCAAGAATTTCCCATAAATTTCTTCTCTTGTACACTTCTTTGTTTCCATAAACTGTTGCCACTAGCCAATCACCTTTGCTTGGAATTTTGAAAATACCCACTACCACTTGTGAAGAAGCATGAATCACAGAAAAAGAGCCAAAAGTTCTTTCCCAACATATCAAAATGCCGCCTGACATTCCTTCAGCTGGAACACTGAAATAATCCCAGTTAACTCCTATCAAGGAGTTGATTTCATTTCTGTCAATTAATGAAATCTTGATT